CCAACACTTCCACCATCACTACCACCTCCAACACCACCATCACTTCCGCCATTATCACTACCACGTCTACCTCCAACACCACCATCTGCTGCTTCTACCTCTGACTCCACCATCACCTTCACCACCGCCTCCATCATCACCACCATCCTCATCCTCGTCTTCCCTACTCTCTCTGGCACCACCATCACTGGCCCCTCTATCCCCATCCTAGCCCCTCTTGACTATCTCGGTTTCCTCACGAGTTCCCCCAACCCTCTGTCCCATTAGCTCCATCTCCCCACCACCACTCCCACTATCATCCCACCCTAGAACCCTCACTAACACCATTTTGGAGAGCAGCCTCTTCTAAGACCTCCAGGCTAAGTGCTCTGAAGCTGGACCGTATGGCAGAGGCTAGGGCCTCTGAACAGTCCCTTCCCCTCCCTGCTTGCTCAGTGGAATTCTGTTTTAGCACGACCAGCCCTTTTTGGGGTCACCTGACATGTGCTGAGCCTCTGTCTCACCTCTCAGGAGTCCCGGCCCTCCTGGTGCTGTTCCTTCTTGTTGTCAAGAGCTCAGTGTATGGACCCCACACAATTCCACTCTCCGACAGCCAGGGAAATGGCACGGGCTTCCGGAACATGTCCATGTGAGTGCTCTCAGGGCTGTGGCAGGCTCCCTGGCTCTGGCAGAAGGGCCCAGGGGCTCTGAACAGGGTGTCCTTGTAGGAAGGGCCCTGGCTGTGGGGCAAGGAGGGGGCCATGGCTCAGAGAAGGGGTGGTTGCCGGGGTGCTTTGCCATACCCCTTCTGCTGGATCCCCTGCAGAGGTAGGCTCTTGTTCTAGGCTGGCTACATCTAGGGGGCCCTGGCATGAACTCTGGTGCCTGCTCATGGGCCTCCAAGGCCAGACCAGCAGCACCTCTGCCTCCCGGCGGAGCACAGAGGTCGGCCCAGCGCCCCCTCCTGCTCTCTGACCTTGAGCAGGGAGCTCAGCCTGCGCCAGACTCTGCCCTCCCTTCCCCGCACCTTGCTGTGCTCGCTCAGGCTTCCGCTGCTCCCGACCTGTGGCTGGCATAAGACTGCCAGCCCTCAGACCCTCCTAGTCAGAGAGAGTGCTGCGGGGCCTGGGACATCCCAGGGACAGGGCTCGGCTTGTGTGTGCGCATCGGGCAGCCTGGGGGGTCTGCACGACAGACTCGGCTGCCTCTTCCTGTGCCCTAAGACATTTATCTTTTTTCTTGTTACGAAGGTTCTCATAGCCAACATAGGGAGAATAGCTGAACGAACCCCTGCAGACCCATCTCCTGTTTAAACCTCGCAGCGAGGAGGAGGTCCTGTTGTCAGCCTCTGTTTACGGTTAGGGAAACTGAGGCACGGGCAGCTGAAGAACCCCACCCAAGGAAACCCAGGTGGTCCATGGCAGAGCTGGGACTTGGCCACAGGCAGGCTGGCTCCAGAGCCTGGCCCCCCCACTGCCCCTCCCAGCCTCCAGGAAGCGAGGCGGTTTGGGGTTCGTTCCTCTCACTGTGGGAGTCAGGCTGCTTTCTCAGAGGAGGTGTGACTTCGGGCTCCTTAACCGTGTAGTTTTTATATACTGCGTGCCAGGAGCTGGAGGACTGGCGGAGGGGCAGGAAGCACGGTGTTGCTGGGCTGTCACGGAGTACCCCACTCTAAGAACCCGCTTCTCTGAGTCTCCCTCCCTCTCCCTCTCCCCCAGGGTTTTGTGACTTTTATTCTCCTGCATTTAAAAAGCCCTTAGGACGTCTGTTCGTGTTCCTGAACACAGACAGCACTAACCAAACCCTTGAAAGGAACTCCAATGCCCTCCCCTCCCCCCGGCAGGACAGCGGTTAATAAGTTGCGACAGAGCCACGCCTGCGGATGGTTACGTAGCAGTGAAAAGGAGTGATCCATGAGCACACTCAGCCCCTTGGAAAAATCCCCCAAATAATGTTCAAGGGAGGCAGGAGCTCATGGCGGGGGCCCGAGCAGGGGGCTGTGACGGGCACAGGCTCTGGCCTCGGAGCGTGGGGCTTCAAGTCCACCTTTGCCTCTGACTAGTGTGTGCTCCCAAGCCCGAGCCTCAGTTTCCTCCTCTGCAGGGCAGGTATGACTATGCACCTGCCTCGTAGGGTCCTCATGAGGAGCGAATGGGCTCATCCGCGGAAAGCATATGACACGGTGCCTGACTGGGTGTCTTGGGGACACAAAGGGCGTGAAGACCTCGGGGAGGGTCTAGGAGCAGGGCTGGGGCCACTGCCAGGCCTCTGCTCTTTCCTCGGCCCTTGATGGCGTCTTCCTGCTCACTCTCCTCCTCAGTCTGCACCCCTCCACCAAGCCGCCCCAAGGTGCCACAGCTGTTCACTGCTCGGAGCGTAGAGTGTGGGCCCCTTCTAGGTGGGGAGGGGTCCTGGGATAGGGCGCCCATTGCACAGAGATGGTGGTGAGATGGTATTGACCTTGCGGTGGGTGGGAGGAGAAGTTTCCAGGGAAGAGGGCCCCCGGGGCCATGGATCTGAAAGAGTATTGGACAAGTGGGCAGCTGGGGGGGCCATGGAAGGGGAGAGAGGCAGGACGGAGAAGGGAGGAGAGGAAGAGTTTTCGGGTGGGTAAAGGCATGAGAGCCCCATGTGGCTGGAAAGGAGAACATGGGGGGCTTCAGGCCAGGGGCCGAGGTGGCAAGGTGGGCCCTAACACGGTGGCCTGGCTGGAAAGCCGGGCCCAGAACTTCACCACACGTGTGGTCAGACAAGAAACAATGGGTTTGGGCTGGGAGACGGGACCAGGTTCAGGAGCCCGTCCATAGGCCCAGAGACCGGGGTCTCCCCACCCACCTCCTTGCCCCCCGCCCCCCCGGCCTGGGGAGCCACGCCAACCCTGGCACTTCACCCCTCCCCTGCAGATGCTGGGTACGGAACCCCTGGGTGCACAACATCTTGGTCATGGGCTACGGTGGCCTCACGTCCCTTTTTAACCTGGTGGTGCTGGTCTGGGCGCTGCGGGTTTTGCATCGGCTACGGGCCCGGGACAAGGTGCTGAACACGCGGGCCTGCCGGGACAGCTTCACGGTGCTGGGCCTCACTGTGCTGCTGGGCACCACTTGGACCTTGGCTTTCTTTTCCTTTGGCGTCTTCCTGCTGCCCCAGCTCTTCCTCTTCACCACCTTCAACTCACTCTACGGTAGGGCCCGCGGGAGGCGTGCAGGAAGCCCTGGGGGTGGTGTTCGGCCAGTCAAATGTTGACTGCTCAAGGCTTCAGGTCAAGGGGGCGAGTCAGGGGCTGAAATCGAGCCCCCGCTGCCGCTCCGCTCCCCGCCGAGCCGGTTTGGGGCTCCTTCTGTCCACAGGAAGGGGCATGTCCTCCTAATTTGCACAAAGGCGCCCTCTGGCCTCCTGACAACTGGTCGTCCAGCTTCTATGCTCTGCCCCTCCTGGCTTCCAACAGTGAGGGACTCTGAGAATTACTCCTGGGCTTTAGGGAAGCCCAGCTCAGCCCCACTGAGGAAGTCCCTGGATTCTGGGTGAGGCCCCACATCGCTCCTTCCAGTCTCCCACTGACCCATTTTTCGCTTGCAGGTTTCTTCCTCTTCCTGTGGTTCTGCTCCCACAGGTGCCGCTCCGAGGCAGAGGTGGAGGCAGAGATGGAGGCGTTCAGCTCCTCCCAGACGATGCAGTAGGCTGGGCCTCCTCGCCCAGAAGCTGTGGCCTCTCAGGCCGCCTGCAGCCCGAGACTCCGGCCTCCCCCAGAGAAGGTGACAGGCCAGATGCTGGGCACCAGAGGCCACTGCGGCCTCCAGGGAGGCTTCTCAACCTCCACGGCTTCCCCAGGCCCAGAGCGCTGGGTGTTGCTCTGCCTCCCCTCGCTTCCTGGGGATAGGAGGGCAGAGCCTCTTTCCCCTCCACCTGAGCCAGCTGGGCCCGGGGCCTGGCCATATGATAATTGGGTAGGTTTGAATTGCCCCTGGTAGGTGTGAGGGTATGGAGTCCAAACCCAAGCTCAGGCTCCCGTTGTAGAGAATCACCATCGCCCTTGACCTCTCTGTCCGGTCCAGAGGGAGAAGGCTCCTGAAGCCAACTCCATTCCCAGGCTGCACACCAGGGGGAGCTCTGGGCCCGTGCTCGGAAGTCATTGGCTCCCAAATCCGATCTGGAAATACTGTCACCTGTCCGGGGACGTGACACCAGATGGAGGGGCCCTGCTTCCAGGACTGCTCCTGCTGAGTGACTGAAGAGAGGATTCCCGCCCTGTTTACACAGCCACTTCTCTCTTCCCGACGCAGCTGTTCGCTCTGGCTCTTGGGGTCTTGGGCATATGGGGCACTAGAATGGGTGGGCGCAGGGAGGCTCTCGGGGCCCCGCTCCAGGCCGCCAGACAGGTAATAATGACTTTGGATGGCACGGTGAGGGTACTGGAGCCGGATTCCTTTTCTCCTGGGGGGATCCTCTGCCCTCTGTTCATTCCCTGATGCAAAGAGCCCTTTGCCCGCTGGTGAGGGCCGGAGGCTCTGGAGCTGGGCTGCCTGGGCTCAAATGGCCTTGCCACTTGCTAGCTATGTGACTGTGGACAAGCCACTCAAGCCTTCTGTGCCTTAGTCTTCCCATCTGTAAAATAGGGGCAGTCGTGGTGCCTATTTTGAAGACGAAAAAAAGAATCCATAGAAAGAGGCTTAGCAAGTAGAAAGTGCTCAATAAATAATTATTATTGTTATCATTCATATTTTTGCTATTATTTTTAACAGAGTCGACTGAGAGGGCAAGCCATCTAAAGTCCAGGGCTGGGTCTGCTCAACCCGACAGGCCCAGCTCCTCGCTAGGCACGGCCTGCTGTCCCTCAGCTCTGTCACCTCCTCTCCCACTTTCCCTAGAGTGGCCTCTGCTCTGACTCCAGACAGAGTGTCCCCCCACCTTTTTCAGGGTGATGAGAGTCCCCATCCAAGCCCCCCTGTCCTCGTCAAGCCCTGTCCTGAGCGGTACCAGGCTCCTTGGGCCGTGGGGGGGCTCCCACACCAATGGGGTGCAGGGGGATCATGGGAAGTCCCAGCCCCTGTCTTGAGCAGCTCCAGGAAGTGGTGACCCAGCTGGGCCTTGCCTGTGACTTGGCCCACCCCACTGGTTCAGGCCCAGCTTCTTAGACTCTACCAAGCCCAGGGCCACCCAAGGGAGGATGTGGCCACAGTAACAAGGGATGGTTCTGGTAGTTCCAGGAAATGGGGCTAGGCTTGTGGCCCTGAGCATCATGGGGGTCCGGGCTCTAGGCAGGGTTCACTTCCCAGAAATGCCCCACCGGGTACGGGGGGGCAGGGATGGGGGAGACCTGCTGGGACTCCCTGCCCTCTCGTCACTCCCAGCAGGGTCCTGGCCTGGCCTAGCCTGGGCACCGGGCACTGGGCCCAGTTCTTGGGGGGCTTCCAGACCAGTGGGAAGATGGAACGGGTAGGAGGACAAATGGACGCCAGGGGGGCCACGTACTAGAGGTTTCTGGGTTGTTTGGTTGCTGCTATATCAGAAAGGCCTAGTGTGTGCATGTGATGGGGTGGGGGTTGAAAGCAGGGTTGCCAGTGAAAATACAGAATGCTAAATTTGGAAGACATATACTAAAAAATTATTCATTGTTTATCTGAAATTCAAATTTAGCTGGGCATCCTATACTTGTCTTTCCCCCCCCTTTTTTTTTTTTTTTTAAGATTTTATTTATTTGAGAGCATGTGGGGCGCCTGGGTGGCTCAGTTGGTTAAGCGACTGCCTTCGGCTCAGGTCATGATCCTGGAGTCCCTGGATCGAGTCCCGCATCGGGCTCCCTGCTCGGCAGGGAGCCTGCTTCTGCCTCTGACCCTCCCCCCCTCTCATGTGCTCTCTCTCTCTCGTTCTCTCTGTCTCAAATAAAAAAAAAAAATATTTGAGAGCATGTGCATGAGTGGGGTGGGGTGGGGAGGGGCAGAGGGAGAAGGGGAGGAAGCAGACTCCCTGCTGAGCAGGGAGCTTGACAGGAGCGGGAGCTCGATCCCAGGACCCCAGGATCATGACCTGAGCCCAAGGCAGACGCTTAACCTACTGAGCCACCCAGGCGCCCCTTTTCTAACCCTTTCTTTTGCTGTCTTGCAAACCTATTATTTATTTTTTTAAAAGATTTTCTTTATTTTAGAGAGAGAGACAGAGCATGAGCTGGGGCAGGGGTGGGACAGAGGGAAAGGGAGAGGGACAAGCAGATTTCCCGCTGAGTGCAGAGCCTGATGCGGCTCGGTGTGGGGCTCCATCCGGGAACCCTGAGATCATGACACAAGCCGAAGTCAGTCGCTCAACCAACCAAGCCAGCCAGATGCCCCTGACAACCCTACTGTAAAGGAGCATCAGTGTGGGCGTCCAGGGTGTGTACTCTTTACCCTTCAAATGAACCCCATATGTGCTGACTGGGGAGCCCCTCTTTCAATTGAACAAGCCCTCACATTCAGGCTGACAGCGCCAGGCTCCTCCCCAGTCCTCCCCTTTCCAGCCAAGGTCAACTAGGGTGCTTGAGGGGTCTGCCCTGTGCTGTGCCCTTACCCTGGGATCAACCCTGGCCCAGCCTCCAACACTGCAGAGCCTCTTCCCTGGCCTCCCCGCCTCCCCATTCCTAGTCCCCCCTTCACTCAGAAGCCAGAGGGAATTTCCACCCTGCAGCCTGATCACACCCTTCCCTGCCGACCCCCTTCCACGCTCTGTCCCTCCTCATTGCCAAACTCCCCACAGGAGCTCGAAAGGCCCTCTGCTCCAGCCCATCGCCCACCGCTCCTTCCTCATCCTCCTCGCAGCTGCCACGCTGAACTATGTTCCTCCGGCAGGTTCTTTCTCTCCCCCAGGCCTTGGCACAAGCTGTTCTTTTCGCCTGGAACACCGTCCCTCAGGCCTTTCATTTGTGGAAAGATGACAACACGACCTTAAGCTCTCTGCTTTGTGCCCTTCCCTGACCTCCTCGTGTCTGGACTAGGAAGCTGCCCCTGACCTCCAGCATCTAGGGTGGGGTCTTCTCTCGGCTCCACGAGCCCTCCCTCCCCCATGGCACTAGTTCTTTCTGTCTCCTGCTTTGTCTCACCTGTCAGCCTGAGAGCATGTGGGGGTGGGCACTGCCTCATTCATTCACTGATGCATCACGTAATTGTGGGGGCACTTCTCCCATCCAGACACTGCACAGGTAAATGAGCAAGCCACCACATGGGAGGGGGGACATCCAATAAGCCATTTAACAAATCAATATGATATCATCAGTGGTGCCTCATGCTATGAAGAAAGATAAAGGAGGGAGAGGGAACACAGGAGCTGGGGGCTTGGGTTCCAGCAGAGGGAGCTGGAGGGTGAACCCAGAGGCCATGGAGTTGGCAGGAGTCAGTGAGCTGGCCTGAAGGCTGCTTGCTTGGGGAGTCCCAAGGCCAGTGTCCTCTGGAGCTTTGGCCGCACGGTGATAGTGACCTTTGGAATCTAGGGATGGGGAAGATGGGAGCTTGTGTCTTTTGTGAGGAAAAACTCTCAAGGGGGGCGGGGTGGGGAGACGGTCCTGGGTTGGGGAGCCCTCTGCTCTTAGCAGGAGCAAAAGCAAACTCAATGTGGAGCAAAACTTCCCCCAGGTAGACCAGGAGGACCCCTGGCAGAGTAAGACCAGCTGATGAGCTGACATACAAGACTTACCAAGTCACAAGAAGGCAAGTTACCAAAGGAGCACCACAAGTGGACCCCCGGGGACAGAACACAGAGCAGCCACGTGGGACATGTTTAAATAAAGACAGGACGGGACGCCTGGGTGGCTCAGTTGGTTAAGCGTCTGCCTTCGGCTCAGGTCATGATCCCAGGGTCCTGGGATCGAGTCCCTCATCGGGCTTCCTGCTCAGCGGGGAGCCTGCTTCTCCTCCTGCTTGTGCTCTCTCTCTCTGACAAATAAATAAAAATCTTAAAAAAAAAAAAAAAGACAGGACAAAGTCACAAAGGGGAGCATATAAAACAAGTAGGGATGAAGAGAGAGATCTGGGAGAAGAAGATATGGAACTTCTAGAAGTGAAGGACATAATTTCAAAATCTGAAATTTAGTGAATGGTCAACAGCTGGGTAGAGAATTCCTGGGCCAGCAGTTGCATATGAAGAATGCAGCAGAGAGAGAGAAAAGGAGGTGGATAATACGAGTGAGAGATTAAAAGAGACAGAACACAGAATGAGAAGATCCTACATATTGGAATCCCACAAGTAGAAGATAAAGGGAATGGAGAAAAAGCAGCATTTGAAGGCATGATGGCTGCAAATTTTCTAGAAACGGTGAAAAACAGATCCACGGCACCAGAAAGCTTGAAGTATCTGAAGCATAATAAACAAAAAGAAAGGCAGGCATTACAGACATTTTGTTGGAACCACAGAGTGCCAAAGGCAGAGAAATGTTGAAGGCCGTCGGAAAGGACAAATCATCCAAAAAGGGATGACGGAACTCGAGCCGACTTCCCAGCAACCACAACAGAAGCTAAAAGGCTGGAATGATCTCTGAAAAGTAATAAGAGTAAATGAATGTCAACTCAGAGAGAGGCCCAGCAAAAGTACCTTTCAAGAACCAAAAAAGAAAGAAAAGAAAAAAGTATTTATTTTTACATTTATAGGTAACCAGAAGCTGAGAGTGCATCCAAAGAAACTTCCCTAGGATGGTGCTTCAAGAAGGAAAATAATTCCAGAAAGTCAGCCTGAGATGCAAGAAGGGATGGTGAACCCATAGAATGGTAAATGTAGGTAACATCAATTCAAAAACCATCTGTGTAAAAGAATAATGACTTATTTCTGATGTTGAGGAAAAACAGGTCTGAAATGCTGGAAAATAGTATATGCGTGTGTGTTTGGTGGGGGGGGGACCAAGGCAACGTGTTCTAAACATTCCTCCCTTGCACTTGGGAGGAATGGGGGTGGGTAAATATATTGTTTAACATTAGACATTGTTAATTAAATGTGCATGGTAAAAGTTAAAGGATAACAACTAAAAAAAATAAAACTGGAATGTATACATTTCATTTCAATAGAGAGGAAAGGGTAGGATAGGAAAACAAACACATAAAAAGCTTTTTAAAAGGTTAGGGAAGGAGAAAAAAGAAATTGAGCAGGACTAGGGGTGCCTGGCTGACTCAGTGGGTAGAGTATGCGACTCTTGATCTCAGGGTCGTGAGTTCAAGCCCCACGTTGGGTGTGGAGCCTATTTAAAAAACAAACAAACAGGGGTTCCTTGATTGAGCAGTTGGTTAAGGGTTGGACTCTTGGTTTCGGCTCAGGTCCTGATCTCAGGGGTCATAAGATCGAGCCCCAAGTTGGATTCCACGCTCAGCAGGGAGTCTGCTTGAGGATTCTCTCCCTCTGCCCCTCCTTGCACGTGTTCTGTCTCTCTAAAATAAATAAATAAATCTTTAAACAGACAAATAGTGGGACTAACAGAAAAGGATAAACAGCTCAAGAGAAAAGTGGGCAAAAACCACGAACCAGCATTTCATGAATGATAAAACAGCTATGGTCAGAAAACATGGAAAGATGCTTACACTCTCTGGGGACCAGGGACCTGGAAATGAAGACCACAGTGACACGTTACTTTCTCCCCCCTATGATTGGTAAAAAGTCCAATGTCTGATGCTATTAAATGTGGGCGAGGATGTGGGTCAACAGGAGCTCTCAAAACTGCTGGTAGAAGTGCAAATTGGTTCAAGCGGCATGGAGAGACAGTTTGTCA